TATTTTCACAAAGTGACAAAACGGGTGTAGTAAACAAGTCGTTACCAAATTTATTACATTCAATTTTCCGTAACAAAGAACTTTACCAAAGTTTGGGAACATTTTATGGGAAATGACATCACAATGGCGGAATATGTCGTTGTGGAAGGAAATCTATAAAGACGAACTAGTTTTTTACCGACAAAGAGGGTAAATGTAAAATCGAAAAGAGCTTAGCACACCAGTTTTTAAGGGGATTTTTTTAAAATCTTTTAAGAGTTGTAATACTAATTTGTATCCTTATGGTTTTAATAATCATGGAAAACTCTTATAATATTAGCCATCTAAATAATTTCAATTTCCTTAGCATCACATCACAAAATATGAGTTTTTTTCTTGATGAAAATTATTATTTCTTTGAGTGGTGTTTATATTCTGTTATTTGGTCACTGGGGCGTATTATTGTTGAATGTTTTAATATGACAATACTCATACGCCACCTAAAACTCATTATTGAATTTATTGGCAATAAAATAGCATATAAACGGATGGCACATTGTAGTCATAAGGTAACAGACATATACAGGGTGTGATGAAAAAATTGCAACCATCTTCAGACTGCTGTCATTTCTAAGCCACTCGTCCGACAGCTGTTAAAATTAATTTAGTGACAGCTTATTACAAGCGTACAAAAACATTTTGTTGAGAATTTTCCAGAAAAAAGTCATTTGTGATGGAATTCAAGCGTGATAGTGTGATTTCTTTATATTAGGATGGAAAACCACAAGTGGCTATCGTTAGAGCACTCCAGCATTTAAATGTGAATAAATCTTTTGTGTCTCATACCATCGCTCGTTACCGTGATACTGGTAGCGTAACCCGACGTCAAGGAAGTGGCCAGAAGAAAACAGCAACATCAGCAGAAATGGTTCGAAACGTAAAGAAGCGACTTGATTGAAACCCGGGTCGCAGTGGCCGAAAAATGGCGCTTGAGCTGAACATATCGCAATATTCCATTCGGCAAATATTGAAAAATTAGCTTACCCCAAGACATAGAAATTCCAAAAGAAGCAAAAACTTACGCCGCAACGGAAAGAAAATAGACTCAAAAGAGGTAAAAAGAGGTAAGATGCTTCGCTTGGCCGAAAGTGGTGAACTGCCGAATTTGGTTTTCTCCGTCTCCGATGAAAAAACATTCGTTGTCTAGTAGTTTGTAAACAAACAAAATGATCGTGTTTACTTGCCAAAGAGGTCAGGTGAAAATGTGCACCTTCAGTTGGTCACCAAAACTCAAGCGGCGGCCATGGTGATGATGTGGGCCGCCATAACAGCCGATGGTCGCTCTACGCTCGTATTAATCGACCGTGGCATCAGAAAAATGCCGAATATTATCGCGAAAATATTCTGGAGGGTGTATTAAGGCCTTGGGCACGCAAACATTTTGGCCGCAGACCTTTGGCATTCCAGCAGAACTCAGCACCATCGCAATCAGCACGCGCCACCCAAGAATGGTTACAAAATTAGGTTCTGTGCTTCATTTCCAGCGATTAATGACCACCAAAATCTCAGGAAAGCTAGGTTGGCACTAAAAAATACCAAAGTGCCCATCGCCTCAAGCAAGCCCTTCTCCGGGAATGGGCCAAAATATCGCACAACAACATTGGGGCAGCGTGTGACGTTTGAAGGCCATAATTCGTGCCAAAGGTGACCAGTTCGAACAAATCTAAATTTATTCTAAAATTTGATGCTATTTCCGACATTTTTTGCTTTCATTCAATAAAATTTAAAAAAAGTAAAAATTATGGCGTTTGACATTGCTGCAGTTTTTTTTTATCTCACCCCGTATAGGCATAGTGGTGTAAAGTATTATATAGTCGACCTTTTTTATACCCTACAACACTATGTGTTGGGGGTATTGTAAGTTTGATTGGGCCAGAATTTATGTAACACCTCGAAATATTGGTTTCCCATATAGGAAAGTATATATGGATCTTCCTAGCTCGCCGAGCTGAATCGATCTAGCTATGTATGTCCGTCCGTCCGTCTGTCCGTCTGTCCATGTTAATTTGTAATCACGCTACAGGTCGCAATTATGGCCCGATCCTTACGAAATTTTGCACGAATGTGGGGTTAGGGTCAGAATAGAAGCCTATTTCTTTTGGAGATGATCGCCAAATGTTTAGGGGTTGAAATGGACCAAATACTGAAAAAATGTCTGATTTTGCAGTAGCAATTATAGACCAATCGACGCGGAATTTCGCATGTAGCTAGAGTTTAGGGCGGGGAAGAAGCCTACCAATTAGGGTGGTCATCGGATAATATTTAGCGGGTAAAATAGACCATATCTTTTGACTTGAAAAAAATCAAAATTTTTCTTTAAACCGCGAATATTTTAAATCCCGGCGAAATTACAAAGCCATGACAAGGTTACTTCTGATCTTTACATTGATTTTAACATCCAAAAAATCGGATATATATAGCAAAATATGTGCGATATATATGTCTATCAAAGAAGATATGCTTGAAAGATCTCTTATATGTCGAGAACGGCTGAACCGATTTCGACAGTACTCATTAAATACATCTAAAAAATCGCATAAAAATGTCTCTCTAAAGATGAAAATTTTGATTTTGTAACATTTTCTCATATTTATTCAATTTTGTCAGATTTTTGGCATATTTTCATTCTGAATTAAACATTAGGTAATATTTCTACAGCACACAAAACTAAGTAGTTGAGATATCATATACAGATCGCATTTATGGACCGATCCTTATGAAATTTTGCATGGGGATAAGATGAGGGTCAGAATACTCTTTTTGGGGATGATCGCCATATATTTAGGGGTTGAAATGGACCAAAAAAAGTACAAAATTGTCAGCAGGTCGTAATTATCGCCCGATCCTCACGCACATTTGAATGGGGGTTACCGCACATTGCAAAAGCCAAGCAGTTTTGGATGCCCATCCAAAAATATTCAATGTGTGAAATAGTTTGCCAACTTTTGTAGACAAAATACGAAAATGTCCATTCCAGTGACTTTTTGGAGAATTCAGAAATACAGGAAAGACGCACTTCTGACTATTTCGTTGACGCCGATTTCGTTGAAGAATGTAGTAAAATGTCTGTATCTCATATAGATGCGTATCAGTCAAAAACCAATAATAAATGTTAATCTTTTGCCACTTCTGAGAGATTATAGGTCTTTGGGAAATATTGGTTCCACATCTAGGAAGACCATTTACGTGCAACATCTATCAATAAATTGGAAATGAGCAAATTAGTTTAAGTTGCTATTATTCGAAAATTAGAGAACGAAACCTGATGGTTTTCTTTTATTATTTGTCACAATATTTTGTGGAATTCTTTCGAGTATCTCGCCTATATAAACTGTATCGTTTATTATAGTGTTGTAGGGTATCACATGGTCGGCCCCGCACGACTATAGCCTTTGCTTACTTGTTATTGTTATAATTTGAGTTATAAAATGTTATGTACTGTCGAAAAAAAACACATTAAATGAGATTGGTCTGGGGTACATTCAATTCAATTTCCTCTATATATCATTGCATTTCAATTTCAGTTTCGAAAAGTACTTTCACTACTTACACCAGCTCATTAATTAACACTACAGGAAGGTAGACTAAATAACACCTAAATCCTTTTATCTTCATGTCGTCATCAATTGACATGAAAATTGTTAATCCGTTTTTGTTTCGTTTCTGATGATCCTATTCCGTGTCAGCTACAAACTTTGTTACGGCTGTCATTCGGAAATGTCAATGATGTCTGTGATTGTTCGTACGAATGTACGTACAAACATGAAGAAGACGTAAAAGTATAACAGTTTCGATGTCAACAGAGGACAGCCAACTTGAAATGAAATGAGAAAAAAAAAAATGGAGAAGAAATCTTGAAAAATGTAAACAATGGTGAACTGGTTGCAAACAGATACTCAGATACATATACATACACATTGACATGCAAAATAAATGAATGATGATACACGGCTTGTGAGGTGTGTGAATGATGGACCTACATATATATATATCATGGATGTTGGTTCGTTGGTGCATATGAACTACTCTACTCTCAGGTGCAAATATAAATACAAGTGAGTTAAATAAGGTAGTTACACATGAGCAGCATAAATATCTAGGCAAAGATACAAAGAGCGAGTACACACACACGACTACTTTGTGTACTTAGATAGATAGTCATGTATGTATGTGTGTGTGTTGGAGTGTTTAAAAACACCAAGTAAAAGAAAAAAGTAGTATCAGTTGTGTGTGTTTTTTTTTTTTGGTTTTTCATTTTTCTTTCACGTTTGTAGAAAAGTTAGTTTTGTGAGAGTGGATGTGTTCCTTTCTATTTTTCTTCATCATTCCGGTGTTGATGAACGTAAAAAAAACCATGAAACATGAGATATGCAAGGAAAAAAACTAAGAAATAACTAGGAATTAAAAAAAGAAAATATAGAAAACATAAAATTGAGACACAGAAAAAGACTCGAAAAGAAGTAGATATTGAAAGAAACGTGTGTAAACATTTCAATATTTACAAACCAAGGGACAAAGAAAAAAATGTTAAGATCAGAAACATTCGAGAAATAGAAAAAAAATAATAAAAAAAACATTCGAAGGAAAACTTCAAACGCATTCACATGCGAAGAAGAAGAAGTGTGTGAGACTAACAGAGACATAGTAGAAGACGCAGAGAGAAGAGGACTAGAAGTAGTGTATATTTTTTTTCTAAATAAATTATATTTTTTGTTCACACACACACGTACACAAGCATACATACATATATTGTCAAGGAATATGCACGCATGAATGTGTGTGCATGTGTTGGGTAAATTTTTTTTCGTTGTTCTTGTTCGGGTAACAAAAAAAAATTAATAAAAAAGAAAAACAAAAAGAATTAACAACGAAAAAAGGAAAAACATAATTGAGAGAACATCAAGCTCACACAGAAACGCACACACACACAGTTATGTACACAGAACACAGACAAATTTTACCTCTTGTGGTGGTACATCATAAGTACGTGTACGTAAGTCCACACGAGCGTATGAATCGATGCACGGCAGAATGAAGAATATACCTAAAGAGTGTTGTAGTTGGTTGTTGTTTTTTTATTTATATATATTTTGGTTGTTGTTGTTGTTGTTATCATCATCATCATCAACATCATTGGTGTGTGTGTGTGTGGTGTTTGAAGTAGTGTTCGGTTATGTCATTGTGGTTTGTGTGATTTAGAGATTTGGTACATGTCGTGATCGTGTGAGTTTTTATATGTTTTTGTTGTAATTATTCACATAGTGTTGTTGTTGTTTTTGTCCCAAAAAGAAATTGTTCAAAGAAGTTTCATAAATATTTAATGTTAATTACAATTGATCTTGTTTTGAGTTTGAGAGTAGTAGATGTTAGCAGGACGTATTAGTAATTAGAAACTACAACACTTACCCGGTCCCTTGGCTCCGCCTTGCATTAAACGACCCAGCCGAAAGATAACCGCTCTTTCGTATTCTTGCACCACCTGCATTTGGAGAAAATAGGTTATTTATTATTGTAAAATTTGGATAATATTCAATGGCCAAGGAAACATTGGTTTTAATTTTTAGCTGAGCTTTGAAAAAGAGAAAAAAAATTATACATCCTTCGTAATTTTTAAACTGTCTTTCTTTAAGGAAAGCCTGCTTCTGTTGTCTTTTTAAAAGTGAATACTAAAGAAAACACCTCTCAGTAAAATTACTCATTACAAATCTAATAACCAGCTCATTATTTTAACATGTCGGAAAATATGTTGTTATTTTCTGACCAGCAAATAAATAAGTACTTTTAAATTGACTTTTAGTAGCCGAAATATCACTACCTGTCTTTGCGAGTTTGCCTATGTTTCTATGAATATTTTTCGAATTTTTATAAACAGGTGGCACATAAGTAGTCCTACCATAGGAAAATGCTATACATTTTACTATTAGTCCCTAATCTCTTAATTACAGCTAAAAAACATCGGAATGTCTGTCAAGTACATACAGAGTGAGATGAAAAAACTGCAACCACTTCTAAGCCACTCGTCCGACAGCTGTTAAAATTATTCCAGTGACAGCTCATTATATTGTTTACAAGCTTAAAAAAGCATTTTGGTAAGAATTTTCCAGAAAAAAAGATATTCGTGATGGAATTCAAGCGTGATAGTGTATTTTCTTTATATATGGTTGGAAAACCACAAGTGGCTATCGTTAGAGCACTCCAGCATTTAAATGTGAATAAATCTTTTGTGTGTCGTACAATCGCTCGTTACCGTGATACTGGTAGCGTAGCCCGATGTCAAGAAAATGGACGGAAGAAAACAGCAACATCAACGGAAATGGTTGGAAAAGTAAAGAAGCGACTTGATCGAAACTCGCGTCGCAGTGGCCGTAAAATGGCTCATGAGCTGAACATATCGCAATATTCCATTCGGCAAATATTGAAAAATGAACTCGGGGTAAAGCCATTGAAATTCCAAAAAGTGCGAGAACTTACACCGCAAAAGAAAGAAAATAGACTCAAAAGAGTTAAAGAGTTGTTGCGCTTGGCCGAAAGTGGTGAATTTCCAAATTTGGGTTTCTCCTATGAGAAAACATTCGTTGCCCAGCTGTTTGTAAACAAACAAAATTACGTGTTTACTTGCCAAAGAGGTCAGCTGAAAATGTGCACCTTCGGTTGGCCACCAGAACTCAAGCGCCGGCCAAGGTGATGTTGTGGGGCCCGCATAACAGTCAATGGTCGCTCTCCGCTCGTATTAATCGACCGTGGTATCAGAATAAATGCCGAATATTATCTCGAAAATATTCTGGAGGGTGTATTAAAGCATTGGGCACGCAAACATTTTGGCCGCAGACTTTGGACATTCCAACAGGACAGGACGCCACCAAAATCTCCGGATACCAATCTGTTGGACTATTGTGTCTGGAGTACTTTGGAAAGGAAGGTTAGCACTAAAAAATACCAAAGTGTCGATCACCTCAAGCTAGCGCTTCGCCCGGAATGTTGCAAAATACCGCAGAGCAACCTTCGGGCAGCATGTGTCGGTTTCATTGGCCGTTTGAAGGACTTAATTCGTGCCAAACGCAAACATTTTGGCCGCAGACCTTGGACATTCCAACAGGACTCAGCACCATCGCACTCAGCACGCGCCACAAAAGAATGGTCACAAAATGAGGTTCCTCACTTCATTTCCAACGCACAATCGCCACCAAAATCTCCGGATACCTATCCGTTGGACTATTGTGTCTGGAGTATTTTGGAAAGCAAGGTTGGTACTAAAAAATACCAAAGTGTCGATCACCTCAAGCAAGTGCTTCGCCGGGAATGTGCCAAAATACCGCAGAGCAACCTTCGGGCAGCGTGTGTCGGTTTCATTGGCCGTTTGAAGGACTTAATTCGTGCCAAACTCAAACATTTTGGCCACAGACCTTGGACATTCCAACAGGACTCAGCACCATCGCACTCAGCACGCGCCACCCAATAATGGTTACAAAATGATATTCCTCGCTACATTTCTAACGCGCAATCGCCACCAAAATCTCCGGATACCTATCCGTTGGACTATTGTGTCTGTAGTATTTTGGAAGGTAATGTTGACACTTAAAAATACCAAATTGTCGATCACCTCAAGCAAGTGCTTCGGCGTTAATGTGGCAAAATATCGCAGAGCAACCTTCGGGCAGCGTGTGTCGGTTTCATTGGCCGTTTCAAGGCCATCATTCGTGATGACCAATTCGAACAAATCTAAACTCATTCTAAAATGATATGTTATTTCCGACATTTTTTGCTTTCATTCAATTTGGTGTTTAGTCCATTTCAACCCCTTAATTCTTTGCAATAATCTCCAAAAATAATGGGCTTCTATTCTGACCGTAACCCCATCTCCATTTTCAATTTCGTGAGAATCGGGCCATGATTGTGATCTGTAGCTTGATTACAAATTAACATGGACCAAAGGACAGACGGACGGACATACATAGCTAGATCGACTCAGCTCAGCGAGATAGAAAAATGGTTTCCTATGTCGGGGATCAATATTTCGAAGTGTTATATAACTTCTGGCCCAATCAAACTTATAATTCCACCAGCACATACTCGTAGTGTTGTAGCGTATAAATACCGAAAATCGTGAAGTACGGTGGTATGTATTGGCTATTCGACCTATGCAATAAGCCTTCGATAATGACATCACCCCATAACTGGCTTTTGATGGCTCCACCCACATGTTGCAACTTATGTGGCTATAACATATTTTTTTACGGAAGTCCTACTTTTTTGTTAGTTTTTAAATTGTAAGGAAAATTTTTGACAATAAATTGTCCAAGAGGCCCTGCATTTATTGGGATAGTAGTCTTGCTCCTAAAGATTTGAAAATATTGTTTTATATGATGCTGGCTTTTTTAAAAAAATCATTTTACATCTTCAAAAAATAGGATTTTATCTCAAAAATTTTGCTTTCAATGTTTTGCATCAAATCAACTGTACAGGCATATAAATATATACATTCATAAATTTAAAGCTTCCACCCTCAGCGTCAGCCATGACAACTGTTGCTTCAATTTAACGATTACTCACTACTTCAATAAGCAATACTTACTTTAAAACAGACAAATAAACTAAAAGGTAGTGTTAGAATCACCAGGGCTACCGACAGGAATATTAATAGTGTGCCACATGTTGAAGATTTGTCTCCGACATCCTCTTCCGCTGCAACGAGATAGAAAAGAGAGCGAAAAAATACGAAGAAAAGAAAAAAAAAAAACAAGCAGTCAGATTAAAGGCAATTAATTAGTGAGATAATACTAATAATACGAAGAGGGATGAAGGTGGGATAATGGGATATTGCAAAATGAAAATAGACAAACCAAAAGAAAAAAACAAAAAATAAAAGTTTCATTTCATCGACAGTTGTAAATCAAAAAAATGAGCTGCGGAAGCTGCTACAATTGTCCGCATATTATTCTCAATCTCCATTCGAAGCACACTGGAGATGGTGAATAAATGCTTGGCTATTTATCATGTTTAGGATATTATCATCATTTTTCATTGAAGACCTGCCAAGCTTTGTAGGTATGAAGTTCCTCTATCGCAGTAATTTGATGTGAGCTGCTGTGTTTTATGGATATGAATGGTCTTTCGTTCACTCCCCATGATTTATGAACTTCTAGAGTTTTCAAAAATTATGCATTTTCCATCGGTGTTTTTTTTCGGAATATGTATATCCATACATCACACTGAACGACCTATAGATAGTTGAAATACATACACACACACGCAGATATATCAATCACTTACAGCGACTTCGAACCGCATGTATGGTTACACGTCTCTCGCGTCTCCCACCATCATCATCTGCAAATAAACACAAACACACAAACAAAAACCAAAAAAACATACAAATGTATGTTTAGACGTTAGTCACTCGCAACAGGAGGTGGTGGTGGTGGTATGTACATACACATACATATCTGTGTGTTCGTGTTTGTATGCATAGGTGAGTGAGTATGCATGTCGGTATGTAATCTGTTTGTTGTTTTGCTTTTCATTCTGTTCATCATCTGTTGTCTGTTGTTTAGCAAATTTGTGTTAGTTAGTAACTGCCATAGCGCAAACGAAATGCATGACAAACACATACATACATACACACATACATACTTAAATGAGAAATGTCATCCTTCTTTTTAAGTTGTTGTTGTTGTTGTTGTTTTGTAGTACAAGGAAGCGCATCTCTGGGAACATAAAACGAGCATTCTCCAACAAGTTTAACAAATTTTTCGTAACAATAAAACGTCACTTGAAAACACTTAACTTAATTGCTTAGCTACAGACATGTGTTGCATAGATACACCCTATTGCGTTAGCTGTTGTGTGTATTAGGGTGGGCAATGTATGCAGCACATGTTTGGGAATACACATAGAAATTTAAAACAATATTTAAACTTAAAACTGGGAAAAGGCATTTGAACATACATTATTTATCCCTGTATATATACACCAATTAGGAAAGTTCAAATGTCGGTCGGGGACGACTATATGATACCCTACACCACAATGTATATTTAGTAGAGCTCCCGTAACACAAAAGTTTATATTGGGAATTTATGTGAAGTAGATCATGCCAACTATGAACCTTATTTGAATACATACCATGACCTTAGAGTAGTCAGAATTTGGGAATTTTATCCAACTCTGAATCGATTTTCAACAATTTTGACGGAGGCTTTTGTACCTCTAGTACCAAAAAACATTGCAGTATAGTGCGTGATGTGACTTCGAAACAATTTATATTAAAAATATTTACTGGAGCAATAGATATACCGGCCCTAGTTTCACCACTCTAGTGCTGAAAGCTGAAGCTATAAAAAATCTGAACAGATCGCGATAAAAATTTGCAAATGTATTTTCGAGCTGTATCTAATGCCTGGTATCGAATATCCTTGTTGGGGAGTGCATATTACAAATGTGAGGGACTTTAACACCGGAAATCGGTTAATGATATATATAGGAGCTATATCCAAATCTGATCCAATCTCGATAAATTTTGACAGAGGTATTTCTGGGTTGTATCTTATTTATGGTACCAAATATCATTTTTGTGGAGTGCCAAAACGGATGTGCCAAAATGCAGGTCATTTGGACTTATATTGGCCATTTGGTGCACTATTAACCTGAAATCGGTTGTAGATATACATATATGGAAGCTATATCTTCATTTGAACCGATTCTCAACAATTTCTATAGGAATTGTCCTTGGACGAAACAAATATTGTTTGGAAAATTTCATCTCAATAGGATAATAAATGCGACCTGCATTTTTTTTCACAAAAATAAATGAACAGACGGACTGACATGCATAAATTTACTCAGAAAATGATTTTATGAAGATCCTCAAAAGCAACTATGGGTCTGTCTCGCTTCCTTCTCAATGATGACATAATACCCTTACCACTTTGTGGTGTAGGGTACAAAAAGTGGTGAAATAATTGACTTACTGAATGTCTGAGAATCAACGCCCAAACAAACGGCTGAAGCTAGACTTCCGGAAATTTTGTACGAGGTCTTGATACATTTGTATTTTTCGTAGATTGGTCATGTCGGTCCATGCTTTCGTATAGCCCCCATATGACGGTAACTCTCCATATTTGATATTTGGATGATTTTAGCGACATCATTCCCCGGAATTGTTTCAAATTTCTTTTTTGAAGTCCGGAATCGTTACTTCATCCTATAACAAAAAATTTCTTAGGTTCACGTCTTCGTATATCGCCTATGTTATGGTTTTTTGAGGCATTATCGACCTTAAAAAATTTAAAAGTTTCGTATTTAAAGTTCGTAATGGGTGCTACAGCTTATGACAAAAAAGTACTTATGTAAGTCGTCTCGTCTTCGAATAGCCCCATACAACGGTTTTCATTTAAACAGTATTTTTCGACAAACATTTTTATTTTATTTCAAGATTCTTTCAAATGGCGAAGAATATTATTTTTACTTGTCTTACTTTAAGGTTACAAAAAGTTTAAAAATGGTACGTCTAAAAATGGTACCATTTGGAATTATGTGAACGGATAGAGCTAAAACCGTGAAATTCCGTATGAGAATCATATATCAAGAAGGTGGTTTAGGAAAGCATACAAAGTATGCGAATGGTACTATGTGGTACTAAATGTGGAACAATGAAGTTAGGATTTTGAAATTTTGTATTGCAGTCCCTGTTATTGGTAGGCTTGTGATGTAGGCTTTGAAATGTGTGATACAAGTGCACGAAAAGTACCTAATAGTACTATATTTGGTTTAACTTCGTATTCGGTGAACAGACAGTGTTATAAATCTGAAATTTGGTATACGGGTCGCTATTCTGGCGCAGCCTGGACACATGGAGGTGGTTTCGGAAATGTGTACTATAATTATACGAATGGTACTGAATGGCATATATTAGGCATTGGGTGAAGGAATAGAGAAAATATGCCGAAGTTTGGCATTTAGATTACTTAACGTATTTGTATTTGAGATTGGCGATGGTTTGGAAATGCGTCCTATATTTGCATGAGAAGAACTAAATGGTACCAAATTTAGTATTGGATAAAGGGATAGGGCTGGAACCCTCAAATTTTAAATTGGGGTCTTTGTTAGTATCTGAAATTTAGATATGGAAGTGGTTTTGGAAAGGTGTACTATAATTGCTCGTGAATTACTAAGTGGTACTAAATTGAGTAACGGGTAAGGAAATATAGCTGGAATCCTGAAAGTAAATATAGATGTCACTGTTGGTATCTGTGGTTAATATATGGAGGGGGTTTTAGATGTGTTTTATAATTGTTGGAAACGTACTAAGCTGTACTAATTTGGGTATTGACCTAGGGGGGATAGAGCTGGAATCCTGAAATTGAGGTCTCTGTTGGTATCTGGTATTTAAGTATGGAAGAGGTGTTGGAAATGTGTACTATAATTGTACGAAAAGTATTAAATAGAACTAAATTTGATATTGGGGTAAGGAATAGAGTTGATGTCCCGAAATTTGATGTAAATGTCACTGTTAGTGTCTTTGGTTAAGATATGGATGTGTTTTGGAAATCTGTACTATAATTTTTCGAAAAGTACTATGTTGACCTAAACTGGGTATTGGTTGAATGAATACAGCTGAAATTCTAGTACTTTCTTGTCTAGGATTTAGATATGAAGACTTTGAAATTAATTTTCGACATTTTTGTTAAAATATGGAAAATGCATGGAACGAATCTAAAATTTTGAGGTGAACGTTAGGCTGATGAAGTTAAAGGCGCTTGCTAGTACATAATGGATTTTTGCACATTAGGTTGAATTAAACGTAAAGTAAGTTCGATTCCAGATCGTGAAGTAAAACCATTTTATTTCACCGAAATTTTGCCCGGACATGGAGAAAGCTATGAGAGAAAAAAATTCTGAATATATTTGTGGGTCTTGTCCTACTCTAATGCAGCTAATTGTTCGATAAAATCGAAATGGAAGCCCTTGAGTTTAAAATAATATGTGTAGATATTTGAAGTTTAAGAAATTTCCGAACAAAAATATCGTAAAATAATGAGATCTTAAAAAAAACTTCAGCAGTTTTCAATAAGTCATTTACGGATAGACGAATTTAGACAATATCTTTATAGATATGGATCATTATGCCTCCACTTTGAAAAAAATGGTATATTAATTGTGTCATTTCGTTTTTAATATCCCCAAATATTCGTCGTAGACTCTATAAAGTATATATATGTATTCATGATCAGCATAAAATTCTAAGTCGATTTAACGATGTCCGTCTGTCTGTTGAAATCACGATACAGCCCACAATATTTGACGTAGAGCTTCAACATTTGGCACAATAATTTGTATTGTGTCTACGATGGTTGAAATTGATAATGAAATATATCACTCCACGTTGTGGTAAAGTAGCCATATAGCAGTACCTCCCGATATTCGGTATTTTGATGATTTTTGCAAAATTGTTTAAGAGATTTGTTCAGAAATTGGTATTTGTAGGTCAAAATGGGTTCAAGCACCGGTGGCGGAACATTGTATGTATAGGTCCCCGCTTTCGTATAGCCATCATACAACGGTATTTGTCGATATTCAGTCTTTTGATAATATTTGCCAAAATTTTCCAAGGATTTGTGATCTAGCTCCGGTGGCAGAACATTGAATATTTGGGTCCATGTTTTCCTATAGCGCACATATAACGG